TTCTCAAGGTGGGCATCCATTGGCAGTTTTAGCCAAAAATTGAGTCATTTGCTCCAACGTGCATCTACCTATCAACGAGAAATGTACGCTATCACTCAAATGGTGGCAAAATGGCGTCAGTATCTTTTGGGTCACAAATTTACTATTTACATGAATCAGCAAGCTTTAAAGAACTTACAAACTCAGGTTATTCAAACATCGGAGCAACAAAAATGGTTTGGAAAACTTCTTGGTTACGATTTTGACGTTGTGTATCGTTCCGGGAAGGGCAATGTTGCAGCAGATGCGTTATCCCTAGTTTTCTTCTCTTAATTCATGACTTGTTCTCGACGAGATTTTGGCTTCTTGAACAATCTCCGCCTTGCTAACAAGCAACATCCTGAGCTTCTTAAACTCCAATAACAACTGACCGATGATTCTTCTACATTGCCCGAGTATAGTTTCAAGTATGGCCTTTTATTTTTTGGGATCGTTTGGTGATTCAGTCTGATTTTTCTCTTCGAAAGCAATTATTATGTGAGTTTCACTCGTTTCCTACCATTTCGGCATTCATCGCACATTTCACTGTCTCGCTTCTAATTTATTTTGGCCCTATATGCGTCGTGATGTGCAACAATTTGTAGCTTAGTGCCATATTTGTCAACGAATGAAATCTTCGTCCTTACCCCGTCTGGATTGTTGCAACCACTGTCGTTACCGTCTTTTGGTGTTTGAAGGAATATCGATGGATTTCATTATAAGTTTACCTCTTTCCCAAGGTAAATCATTTATCATGGAAGTCGTTGATCGCTATACAAAATATGGCCATTTCCTTGAGTTACCTCCTCACTTCACTAGCGTAACTGTGGCTAGTGTTTTTGTGTCAGAAGTGGTTCTCCTTCATGGAATTCGGGTCGATATTGTGTCTGATCGTGACAGTCGTTTTATGACTATATTTTGGTGTGAACTTCACCGTTTGCAGGGTACGACATTGGCTACGTGTACAACATATCATCCGCAAAATGATGGCCAAACTGAAGTTTTAAACCGTTGTTTGGAAATGTACCTATGTTACTATGTGTCCGATTGCCCGAAAACTTGGCTTACCATGCTCTAGTGGGCTGAATATTGGTACAATACGTCATTCCAAATGTCAGCGCAAATGACTCCATTTGAAGCTCTTTATGGTCGACCACCCCCAACGATTTCTCGTTATATTCGGGATTCCTTGGGTCATTCTCTTCTTGGTGCCTTCTTGGTTTAATGATATGAGGTGTTACAAACCCCTCAAAGTCAGTTTGTTCAAAGCTCAAGCTCGGATGAAAACTTTTGTCGATCAACATCTTGTTACGTGGTCTTCAATGAGGGTGATTAGGTTTATATTAAGTTACAACCTTATTGTCAGAACTCTCTTCTCCTTCAATGCCACCACAAGTTGGATCGTTGTATATATCCTTAAAATGTCCTTCGCATTGGCCAAGTCGCTTATCATCTCAAATTACCAGCATCCGAGCAAATACATCATGTTTTTCATGTTTCTTATTGCGCAAATGTTTAGGTGTGTCAGAACAACATGTTACTCCATTACACTTGGTTGACTCTACTGATACTATGGTGTTACATCCTGAATCTATTGCCTCTACTCGTGTTATTTCCTGTAATGGTCGTTCCGTGGTGCAATGGTTAGTTCGTTGAGAAGGTTTTGATTCAGCTGCTACCACTTGGGAAGATAATGATCAATTGCTCAAATCATTTCCAACTCTGAACCTTGCGAACAAGGTTTCAGTTAATGGGAAAGGTAATGTTATGAGAGATATTGAGAAGACAACAATAGCTGTGGAGTCGATTGTTGCAGTTAGGAGTGGGTCTTGGATCAAGGAAACTACCATCCAAATATGACGATTTTGTGGTCAATCCACGTCAGCATAAATAGTAATCGAATGCGTTAAGAATACTATAAAAAGCGAGTTAATTGTGAGGAAACTTATATAAGAATTTGTTGCTTTTGACTTTTAGGGTGTGTTTGGTTTACGGAATGTAATATTATCAGTGTGAATGTAAGATTACCAGGGAATAAGATTACTGGGAATGTTGTATTTTGTGTTTGGTTGGCTTAGCAGGAATGTATGATCACCGTGTTTGGTTAAAGGAATAAAAGATTATTGGAATGTATATTTAACCAAATTATCCTTATTATATATTGTTTTTTTAACAAGTTGGAAAATATTTATATATTTTCTTTAAAAAATTTAAATTCATAAAATTTATATAATTTTTTTTACAAAATTGAAAATATAAAAATGTTTAATAAAAGGGTAAAATTTTATTTTAACCCCTGAACTTTATATAAAATTTTAATTATAGACTTTTTTTTTGTAAATCTAAAATAGTTTAAGGATAAATTTGTACTTTAACCTTCATAGAATTTTTATTATTCAATGACAGAAGAATGATATTTTTGAAAGAAATAAAAATTAAGGACATTTTAGTCCAAAACGCCGGTAATCCAACAATACCTAAGGAAAGAGAGATAATGACATTCCCGGTAATATACCCCAAAAAATCCACTATTGATAATCTTACATTACCGGGAATGGGATTCCTGGGCTAACCAAACGGGGGAATGTGGATTCCATTCCCATGGGAATCCCACATTCCCCATCCAAACACCCCCTTAGTGTTGTTTGGTCACGTTAACACAATTTGACCAACCACTTTGACTTCCACTTAGAAACATATAAAAGACAACCATAATTTTCCTTTCATGTTGATGTTTTGATTGTTTTTCCTTTTCTCTCGATACCCAAAAGGTTGCCTATTGTACGGTGTTTGAGATGGAAGGTTGGGAGTTTGATGGTTTGTTTCAAGCTTGGGACAGTGGTACTCGACAAGCGATCTTTGAGGCGGATAATTTGCTCATTCATATCACACTCAACTGGGGGCTCGATGATATACAAGATTTGCTCGGTAAATGTAACACCCAACACCAATACGACACACAGTCGACCGATGAGAATGTCACACGGAACCACCAGAGTGGTTAACCAAAAATTTTCTTTAACATAATGGAAAACATACATTCGAAAATGCTCATAATAAAATAAACATTAACCTTTTATACAAATAAGTTTACAATCGGGAGCTCCCCAAATAAATACTTCCAAAATATACAGACTATTCATTTAAAACAAGTTATGACTTGATTTTTACAAATAGGGTTACGAATATACATGCCCTCTAAGAATAAAACTAAGACGTACTCTGCTCTAAAAGTTTGGGTCTGGATCTACTATGCACAAAAGTTCTTCAAGTGTTCCACCTAAGAATCTGCGTAAGGAAAGAAATTTCAAACGCTGAATTAACTAGCCCAGTGCCACACTATCAACTAAAACATACTAAAAGGGGTACAATAACATGTTTATATAAATGATAAAATAATATAGTGAGAATATTTGCATACTCACTCTCTACGCTATGGTAGACATCATGGTGCGGTTGAGGGATTTCTGCATCTCGGACCTCATGCACCCCAAAAATATCTGCATCAGACATTACACCCTCGACTAACCCACCCCTTGCGAGTGTTAGACCTTGCGCCCTATCTAGTCAGTTTAAAGTGCCTTGCGCACTCCCTAAAGATATATGGACTGATTCTATACTTCGACACCCTAAACTAAATGAACTCGGGTGACCGAATCATTTCTCTAGCATCAAACAAGGCAAGTCTTATGTCACCCTAATTATTTATTTTCTATGTTTGATTATGCTTAATTATTGTTCTCACTTGCAGTCTTAATTAAGAGTAATTAGAGCTTATTGGGAACCTCACTAGCCTTTACAATTTCCTCAAATTTTATAGCCCAACCAACTCTTTGGTATCGATACTAGCCATAAAGTATTGATACTGCCTATTGGGTATCAATACCTTACCCAAGGTATCGATACCTCTGGGAAAAAATCTCTTATTTTAAAAGGAGAAGTATCGATACTCATATGAGAGTATCAATATTTGGACCATGGGTATCGATACTCTCTAGAGTATCTATACCACCCTCAATATCAATAATCCTTCAAGGGGTATTGATATTGCACTCATAAACTTCACAAACTTAGGCCTAAACAAGAACAATATCGATATTGATCCCTCCAGTACCAATACCTTCCCTCGAAATTGCCTTACTTGGACACTTAAATTCACTCACATTGCTACCTAGTGGTTCCCAAATGTTCTGAGTGTTTTATGTGATCAAGTAGGGTCATAAATAAGGCTTTAAACATGCTTTTACCATGAAACATAAAATCTACCATTAACTTGCTCACCAAGCTTTAATCTAAACCTTTATGCTATCATACACTTCAATGACCCTCTAACGAGTATGAAAGAGTTGTAAGTGTGGTTACCTTGAGTTTCTTGGCTAATGACAAAGCTCCCAAATCATTCAAGGTGATTTCTCCTTTAGTTTTTGAACTTTCAATCACTTCTTTCACTAAACAAAATTAAGAAAAGAGATTACTAACTTACCTAGATTATTGGGTTGGGGTTTAGAACACTTCTACAACTTGAATCTTACTAAAAATGGTTTAGAATCTAAAAATTCTCATAAATCCCTCAAAAACCCATTTTGCCAATTATGGTTAAAATCTTACGATGTGGGGCTTAAATTGAAGCTAGAAGAATGAGGATTAATAATCTTACCTTGGATAAACCAAACTAGATTTGCAATGCTTGGAAATCTTGCTTTTGGAAGGGAAAAAGAAGAGAAAATGATTAAAGGAAGAAGAAGGTTTGGTGGGATATTTGGGGAGTGGTTCACCTAAACACCATAAAATAAGGGGGAGTTTTCAGCTTTCAATTAAAAATGGGTAAATTACACTTTTAACCCCTTTGACTCTAAGATCAAACAAAATTACCCTTAACCCTTGGGCCCAACTCGAGCCCACTCTCAAATTAGCCAAGTCCAAATATTTACTACATGAGTTTCGGGGTGTTACAGTAAATCTATTCTGAGGCGATTTTGCTGTAACTAAAGCACCTAAATTATCTATTCAAATCAAGCAAATATACAAATTTGTCAGTAATTTTGGACCTTCTGTAAACGAACCAAACGTTCAACAAACCATTCATGAACTATTCGACGGGAAATTCGTTTACTTATTAAACAAACGAACATGAACGAGATTTTTTGTTTGTTTAATTGTATAAACGAATACGAACAGATGGTTTATTCGTTTATTTACGTTTGATAATATGTTCATTTATATTTGTTTATGTTTGTTTATTTGCGTTCGTTCGTTTACTTTCGTTCGTTTATGTTTAGCCTAATCTTTCTAGACCCATTTAAAATATTAAAGCACAACAAATTTTAATCTAATAACCATTAATATTTTAAAATTCAATTAATTTTACGTGTTTGTTTTGTTCATTTATGTTCATTTACATTCGTTTATGTTCATTTATTGTGTTTGGTTACGTTCATTCGTTTGTGTTCGTTTACGTTCGCTTATGTTCGTTCATTTGTGTTCGTTTATCATTTAAATGAACGAAAATGAATGGACACGAACAAGCTACATTCCTTAATGAACGAACACGAACAACAAGCTACATTCCTTAATGAACGAACACGAATACATTTTTTTTTTTCCGTTTATGTTCGTGTTCATTCATTTGTTTGGTTAAAGTTAAACGAACCAACATGAACATATCCCGTTCGGTTCGTTTACAGGTCTATTGGACCATAAGCCCCACATATAATCATCCAAGCATGCATGAGGGTAAACAATTTCAAAAGAGCTTTAGAGTTGCATTGGTGTATGATTTTACTTAAACTACAAGCTACTAACAGAAATAAGAGGGGCCAAAATGGAAGACAATCCTACTCCCCAGTGATATCGCAGAACTCCAGGAGGCAAGCAAATTGGTTGCCACCAAAATGTATGTATTTGCATGATCAAAGCATTTAGATCCATGAAATAACATCTGCGCATCCACTTCTCGCCGGTAATTCTGTCTCAATTAGTGGGATTGTACTTCAAGAAGAATGTTTGTGGCAGCATTGATTTCATTCCCAACATGAACAAGTGCCTGCCTGGCTGAGTTCTGATCGAAGCCCATTGACACCAGGGTAGCAACAGAGTCCTCCGATGGTACTACAGCTGAAGGTACAACTGTGGGTGGATAAGTTCTCTGAAAACAAAAGAGTTCATGGCTGTTATTCTTCATATAGTGGTCAATCTAATCTAGCTAATCTTTTACCATAAATGTAAATCCAAAAATCTTCTGAGTTAATACAGGAAAAGGCAGAACCAGCACATGACTAACTGACACTGAATCTAATAGTCTGGCAACAGTGGCACCGGGTAAACCTTTTCATAAGACAAACAACATTAGAGAAAATTGTTCATAATCTATAGGAACCCGTTGACCCACTAAATATATATTGAAAATACAATTGTCCACCAAAAGCAGGAATAACGGTCAATAAAATACCCAACCCCACATTATGTTATGAAATGCTTTGTATGTAATCAGTCAATCCATGAAGATTCCATTTTTCTCCTTCAAAATTTTCCAATGTCAAAATATTTGGGTTCTTCCCTAACCAAATTTAACATCGTTAAAAGATTTGGTATCTATAAAACCTTAAAATCTTAGAAATATCCAATAATACTTGATATTGAGTCAAAATTCTGAAGGGATTCAAGAAGCTAACCTCATCTCTAGTGCTGATTCTCATGTTTCTGCTTAAACGCCTGAATCTCCTCTTGGAGGAGTTAGAATTTCCTACTCTTCCTTATATTACAAGTTTTCGATTCTTTTTCTTAACAAATCCTTTTAAAAGATAATTATGGGTCACAAATCCATGATTCCACACTAATCATAGTCATGCAGCAAATGGCTGCCATATACACATTTCACCATATCAGTTTTCCAAAGGGCTGGTTGAAACAACCTATATCGGTGTGGATATTTTGTCTATGCATTCATGGAGGATTTATACTTTGAACAAAAGTACATCCCTAAATATAGTTGTTTCAGACACTAAGGCACATTCAAGTTATATCAATATGCCATATGGTAGAGGACATTATTGCTTTTGAGCATGACATACAGTCATATTCTCAACCTCCAGAAGAATGCATGAACTTTATAGATGAGCTGAGAATACATTAACCAACCACTGAGCAGAAATACTTTAACACTTATCCGGCTATATTATGGCAATAAAATGTTAAATCATTCGCATCATGCTATAATAAGAGCAGTTGAACACCATAAACATTCACATGTACCACATAATACAAGTTTAATCAATCAAATCCATTTGAAGAACACAATTGTGTACAATCTCTCAGCTTCATGATATAAAGTTGACATATGCATGTTTATGAATTATGTCAGGGCATGCAAATTACAACTAGTTCTGATTCCTAGTAAAAGTACCTTGCAAGAAATTTGTAAAAATGAAGCATTTAAAACAATACTTGCCTCCACTTGGTGAGTTGTGTAGGAAGGTGCATTTCCTGCAAGATTCCTAGCTGGTGTTGTAGGAGGATTTTCCATAGAAGGCCAAGAAAGCCGCGAAAAGAATGATGCAATGAACTCAGGGAACTGTACATAAAACAATTATTTTAAAAAATACATGACATTACTGAAAATATAAGAGCATATGAATTGAAAATAATGCTACAAAATGGAATGAACAACTAAAGAAATAGTTAAAAAGGTGAAATAACGCTATTATAGCTAAATTCAGTAACACTTCTTTACTAGAGGAACGACAAACTCAGAATTTGTCACGACAGTTCACCTTTAATCACAACAAGTTCAATGTCTTCATTTGCAGTGCTAGATCTTTTAAATTGCAAAACATTTAATTCTCTACAAAGTTGTTAATAGTTTTCAAAATTTATTCTAATTTACGTGGCATTCTGTCTATGTTCAGAATTCCAGCTACTGTACTGCTTAAACTTAACTCTATCATGGCTTCTTTTCTGTGGGGGGGTTCGATGGACAAGGAAAAAATCCATTGGGTCAACTGGAAGTCGGCTACTAAACCAAAGAAATTGGGGGGTCTAGGGGTCCCTAATCTAGCACTAATGAACCGAGCCTTACTAGGGAAATGGGTATGGAAGTTTACTTCTGAAAAAAAGTCTTGGTGGAAGAGAGTAGTTTGTGATGTTTACAATCTGGATCCGAATTCCATTATTTTGGGGAATTCGTGGTCGGTCTCATCTTCAGCATTCCCTAACCAAATCCAACAATCATCTTCAGCAGGAAAAGAGATTATCTTTCAGAAAGGAAAGCTGGATTTGGTCAGATTATCCTTCATTGTTAGATTTAGAGTGGCTTCCTGGTTTAGTGCTCGTTTCAAGGATGTGGGCATTCTTTTATATTCTCTTATAGGTGATTTGAAACTTGCAGATTCGGCAGGCAGATTAGGAAAGGGTTGCTATCAATCAGCTTGCTGGGTTCCCCCACCGGATGGGTTTCTAAAGTTAAATATTGATGGAGCGATGGTTTTGGGGTGGGAAAAAGGAGGTATTGGTGGTCTGGTTCGGGATAGCAGTGGACTATTGCTACAGCGGTTCTCTGAATCAGTAGGGGGTGGTCCTCCTATCTTGGCAGAGTTGTTGGTAATTAAAAGAGGGATTTGTCTTATGGAGGAGTTGGATTTTGTCCCAAATCAGAGATTTATCGTGGAATCAGACTCATCCAATGCTCTGAAGTGGATCCAGAATCTGGGTTTAAGCCCCCCTATGCATCTACCATTGGTGAAGGATATAGTTTCGAGTTTGACCGGAAAAGATATTATATTTAGGCATATTTTGAGGGCGGCAAATTGGGAAGTTGACAAACTAGCTAAAGATGGGATAAGGTGATTTTTGGGTTATATGATTGTGCTGAGTAGTAGGAATTGTATTTTTCTATTTGTTAGGTGGTTTGTTTTAAGTCTTATGTTCTTCAGTTGAAAGTTTAGGAGATTGTTCAGTCTTTGTAATTTGGCTCTTGTGAATAAAAGTTTCATGGCACTCTTTTCCTCCTTTGTTCTGTCATGTTACCTTCATAACATAGCAGGGCTTGAAGGAGGTTTTAATGAGGCCTACTTTCTATCAAAAAAAAATAAACAGAAACAAAATGGAAAAAAGAAATTTGTTGGATTCAAAAAATGATAAAATCCTTCAATTGGTCCCTGTAATGAAGTCAAGTACCGTACACAAATTTCACCAAAACGAGCTCTGCATCTATTGAATCAGTGATCTAAGGAATATCACTAACACCACAAAAATGAAGTCGCGAAGGAGCTAATTTATCATTCTTCTTCTCTCTTGTCCATTCTACTCCATATGCCACTCTCTTTTCTCATCGCCAAAACAACACCAATAAAATGCAGCGCAAAAGTAAGTGCATATGCATGCAAAAAAATTCACATAAGCATAACTCACTACTGTTTGAAATGTAGGATGTTATAACAGATCCTCGGCACAGGATCACTCATCAATGGCTTTATACTGAAAACATAGCCATCATTGTTGCAGCCAAAATATCATCTCAATCTATGGCATAGATGGAAGACTATATGTATTTCCCCATGTCTCCATCAAGAAAGGGAAGTTAAGAAGCAAAAATTTCTTAGTATCAGATTGGAAACAACCTTAGCCCTTCGGATGCGAAAGACATTCAGACGATATAAGGAACAAGCAAGGATGCCACATATCCCTGGCAAGAGAGATCTTTTCCAAGATGATAGAAGGAGCTGCAAGAATGAAATTGAAGTTTATCACAGGGCGTCGAGGTAGAAGACTAACACTAAGCAATAAAACTAATTACTCACTCTTTACCTGAAGACCAGCTAGATAGATGAAAGACTTATTGGAGAAGCGAACACCAAAAATTCGAAACCATGTTGAAGCCGGGATGTCAAAATAAAATGGTATGAATGAAGCAAATATGAGGCCATAAGGTCCAGAAGTGAGCATGTTGGCTGTGGGATCTGTAAACATTAAATATCAAGTAAATTTTCCATCAGCATCACCAACGAAGCACTGTTTGCTATGTCTACAAACAAGATGGGTATGTTATCCGAATTTGGGGAGTATAGATCAGCCGGTTGGATTTGGGATGTGCAGTTTCGGAGGAACTTAAATGACTGGGAATTAGAGCAGTGGTCGAATTTGATGGCTGTTATTTCAACTTTCTCCCTATCTAGGGAAACTTCTGATGGGATGATTTGGAAAGGCATTGGGGATGGAGTGTACACTGTAAAATCAGGTGTTAATCTATGTTCATCAGATTCTTTGGGATCGGAGGTCTATTTTTGGAAGAAGATTATTTGGAGGAGTCAGCTACCTCCTAGGGTGGAGACCTTTATGTGGCAGGTTGTTCTAGGGAAACTGGCTGTTAAGACACAACTTATTAAAAGAGGAATTCAAGGAATCGAAGATGTGTTATGTCCTCTTTGCAAGATGGAGGATGAGTCTTCCTCGTATTTGTTTTTCTCATGTTCGATGGTGGGGGCTATTTGGAACAGATTTATGAATTTTTAGAGGATTAAGACTGCCTTTCATGCCAATGCTAAAAGTTTTCTTCTAGCTTGGGATGCATTGAAGTCTAACTCTCTAATATGGTCTTCTATTCCAGGGGCTGTTATTTGGACTACTTGGAAAATTAGGAATCTTATTGTGTTTGAAGGGGGAAGTTAGATATGGCAGAATTCTTCTTCTTAGCAAGATGTAGGCTTGCTTCTTGATTCTTTGCTAAGAATAAAGAGGTTTCTATTCATAAGGACTCTCTTATTTCAGATCCTTCTATAGGGGACTCTTGTTCTCTCCATTCTAATCAAATTATTTCTATTTTCCCTTGGTCTCCTCCTCCTATGGGTTTTGTTAAACTTAATGTTGATGCTGCTACTACAAGAGATTGGAAGAAAAGTGGGTTAGGAGGAGTTTTGAAGGATTCCTCAAGATTTATTTTAGGCTCTTTCAAGGATTCTACTGGTCCGGGGCCTCTGACATTTATGGAGCTAAAAGCTATTCAAAAGGGTTTGTTATTCTACACTTGTTTTCGAGAGCGGATCAAGGAGCGTTTGATTATTGAAAGTGACAACAAGGTGGCAGTGGATTTGGTTAGGGAGGTTGAATTATGTCCGAATGTTTATGCTTATATTATTAAAGACAATTTTCATAGACTTAATGTATTTGAAGGTGTTATTAGATGGGTTAATAGGACGGCCAATCTAGAGGCTGATGCCTTAGCTAAAGAAGGAATAGGCTGAATTTGTGTTGTTGTTTCTGGTTGTTTAGGATTAATTTATGTTCCTAGGTTTCTATTTGAGGTTTTCTAGGTTGTACCATATGTAATTTCTTTTGTTGAATAAAATCCTAAGGCGCTCTTTTCCTCCTTCCGCTGATTAAGGAGCTTCACTACAAGCTCCATTAATCACGATGGGGGTTTTTAACGACGCCTGAATTCCTTATAAAAAAAACAATCATGCATGTTGATGTCTAAAATATGTCTTCATTAAAAATTTTAAGAAAATAAAGGAAAGTCTTTTTGTTGGAAGCAAATATGCATGATCTAGATTGTGATTTAGACAGCAAGAGCTAACATCATATGACAGGTCGTTGGTAATGGTGAATAACAAATAAGAGTTTATGACACAACTGCAAAACAATATTGTTTCTCTTGCTTTAGTTTGACAACAACTTGGTTTTTTGCACATACATATAAGAGTAAAAAACACCTCGTGATTTTGATATTGAATTAGGTCTAACAAGGTGAAGGGAAACCATTGTGTCTTCTATCAACAAGCAAAAGCTAGTAAAGTTCTATTGGTTGTCTATGTGGATGATATCATCATTACTGATGGACATAGGTAAAGGATACAAGAACTGGTATTGTATCTCCAAACAAAATTTCAGATAAAGGATTTAAGGTACGTGTGATATATCTTAGGTGTAGAAGTAGCTAAATCTATAAAGGGATTCATTATCCCAAAAGAAGCATGTACTTGACTTACTTTATAAAGGTATGCAAACTTTTTGATACTCCTGTTGGATTCTAACACCAAATTATTAGCTCATCAAGGTGGGGTGTTAACTGATTCAAGTTGTTACCAAAGATTGGCTGTGAAGTTAAACTAGTCAAGCAACTTTTCAATATAGCATTAATTCATGAAAAAATAACACATTAAAGTGGATGCTCATCTGGTTCAGGACAAAGTGGATGGTCAACTAGTTCAGGACAAACTTTAATAGAATGTGATTCATACATAATCAATGAGATCTATGAGCTAATTACAAACTTGTTTACAAAATCTTTACCAAAATCTAGAGTAAGATATACCTGTAAAAAATTTAGGTTACTTAGGTACGTACAACATATATGCTCCAACTAAAGGAATAGTGGTAAAGTATTTAAGAAAAAAACATGAGACAGAGAGAAGTAGAGAGAGAAAAGTTGAAAGGGAAGGTAGATTCCGATGAGGTCTGGAAGGCTTTTGTGGATAATCTCAGCATGAGAGTGTCAAGACGTGTATTAAGGGAATATTTTTATCTCAGGGACCTGTTGAGAGAGTTTTCATTCCAAAAGAAACAAGAAATCCAAAATACAAATTCTCTACCTTTGCTTTTGAGCAGTTTGGGAGTGAAGCAGGTTTGAGACGGGAAATAGTTAATTTAAATGGTTCATTGATAGATGGGAAGAGGATTACAATTGGAGTTGCAAGATACAATGATGTTCGTTCAAGGATAGTGGAGAAGAATAGTCCATTGAAGCCGGTTCCAAATTCGAGTACAACAGAAACTTCAAAGTCTAAAGAGGTAGATGTTTCAAGCAAGAGTTTAAGGGACGATAGAACGTATAAAGATGCTTTATTGACAAACAAAATGAGTAGTGCATTGGGATTTAGGGATTTATCCCCTGATGGGATTCACAGGGAGAAAATTAAGGAAAATATTTTGGAAATGCATATTCCTTCTGAGAGCTCGAGTTAGGTTAAAAGGTCATTAACGGGGATCATTAAACATTCCTTTGATTTAGAGTTAGTTCAGAAGTCTTTACTCAATGAAGGTTATGATATCCAGATTGCTAGCTGGGGTTATATCTGGAACTCTTGTGCAATTATTTTCAAATCTTATGAAGAGTTGATGGAGGCAAGGATGAAGAAGAAAGATGAAATATGATTCTGGTTTGATAGATTGGCTCCTTTACTGAATGAAGATGGAGTTCCAATGACTTTTGCCAGGTTGAGATATTTGGGGTGCCTCTCTTATGCTGGAATGACTCCTTTTTGGAACGAATAGCAGGGAGATGGGGGACGATGGTAGACATCCATGATACCACTAAAAGCAGGGAAGATCTTACGACTGCGAGAATTTTAATTAGGATAGCTAGCCCTTTTGATGTCCCTGAGGTCATTACTCTTGGATCTTATGGTAGATCTTACAAAGTGAGCATCAAAATTGGATCGGTGCAGGAATCTTCAAAACCTTTTTTCAAAAAATCTCCAGTGGTCGGAACAGTTGGGGAACATTTTGGTGAGTTGTTGTCTGAGGAAGTAGAAGACAGGGAGGAGTCAAAAAATGAGGAACGTTCAATAAGATCAGCAGAGAAAATTTGTCAGAGGGTCGACACGTGGATTGACCAGGGAGATGCTTGCGGTATAGTAGAAACTGGTGTAGAAAAACAGTTTTCAAAAGTTACCAAAGATGGGAAGGGCATTAAAAGCGGGTTGTCAGATTTTTAGAAGGTTGGGAGTATCAAAGTGGGGGAGTTTGTAGGTTTGGGAATTAGAATTTCAAATTTTTCGGCTGATGGGCCCCAGGCCCAACCAGAAGATAATGAGCAGTCTGGGTTGGAAGTTTCAAAAGTAATTCCTGCTGGGCCAGCTTTTACAATAAATAAGTTTGGAAAAATGGTTCATAATTTGAATCCGGTTGAGACTGGCAATAAAGAGAAACAAAACAAAGGGTTGAGCTCTAATTCAGAATCGACTGATAGTGCTGGAATTAAGGTTCAAAATATTGATTTAATGTTATAGTTCCTAATTCAGACTTTACACAGAGTAATTCAAGGGGTAGATCATTTTATCGATCTAGAAGCTCGCTCTCTACAAAGAGTGAGCCTTTAGAGAGGAGGATGGGCAGTTATAAAAGGGTTTATAAAAGGTCTAGGGAGAGAAATTATTGGTTAGGGAATGAACAAAATGTTATACCTATTAGAGAGGATGATTTAGACATTCAGAAGGTAGATGATCAAACCTTGAGACCAGCTCAACAAGATAGTTTGACAGCAGATTCGAACATCCAAGGCTGTGAGGAACCTACCACAGATAGGTGTTAGAAGCTTGGATAGGGAGCTTGAAAGTTGGTTTTCAGAAGGACATTGTTCTAATTTCAATTATGGTTTTTTGAAAAGAAGAGCAAAAAGACTACTATTAAGGGAAGATTTAGAAGAAGTCAATATTTCAATAGCTTCCTCTTTAGTGAGGAAGCTTTAGCTACTTGGCAAATAAGCCAGATGATGGGGGTTTGTTTTAAGCAGGGGAAGGCAACCTTTCTGGAAAAAATCATTAACTTGGAGAAAGGCTTGAATATGGCCAATTAAGGAGTCTTATGGGGGCATTCAGATTGTTGAATAATTAATGATGAAGGAAAAATTATTCATAATTTCATAAAATGTTAGGGGTTTGGGGAAAAAAGAGAAACAGAGAGATGTTCAGAGATTAGTCTCTAAGATGTTTCCTTCTTTTCTTTGGTTATAAGAAACTAAATCCGAGAAGATACATAAGTCTTTTTTAAGAAGAAGTGGGTTGAATATTCTTCAAGGTTTTATCGAATCTCCAACAGTTGGATCTTCAGGGGGTTATTGTGATGTTGGGATGATAATGTGTTTGAGCTGGAAAATCACTGTTTTAATAGAAGATTTATTATTGTTTCCGGAAAATTTCGTTCTAATCAATTTAGATGTGTATTCATTAATGTTTATGGTCCTTCAGTGGAGGATGAGAAAGCAAGTTTTTTTTGAAGATCTTAGCTTGTTCATTTCTGGTCAGAGTCTTCCTGTTTGTGTGGGTGGGGATTTTAATGTTTACTTGTGTGAGGATGAGAAGGTTGGTAGAGCTCAGAACAGAAATTCAATGGGGATTTTTAGTCAGTTTATTCAACATTCAGGCTTAATTGATCTACCTTTGAATGGGGTAGGTTCACTTGGTGTAACAACCAATATATTCTCACATTTGTTAGACTGGATAGGCTCTTGGTGGATGGTCAATTCCTGGCTGTTTTTCCTGATATTGTTCAATCATTACTTCCAAGGTTTGTGTCAGATCATAATGCTATACTGATTGAGAATGGAGGAGTTAATTGCGGTAAAAAACTTTTTAGACTCTTTAATTATTTGATGGATGAAGATGGTTTTGATGAAGTGGCCAATCTTACAATATCAGATTGCAAGAATAATCAGAGGAGAGCTAGAATTTTGAGCATTCTGAAGAGTTCTAAATTAGCCATCAAAAGGTGTGCTGGGAAGAGAAATCAGTTTCCAGGAGCTTCAATTATAGAATTAGAAAAGAAAATTCACAACCTAGAGGAGGAGGTCCAGCAGTTGCAAGATGTAAGAGACAATTAGATTGGAGCAGAGTTAAATGCCTGTAGATCATAAATATGGAGACTTCACAGGATTGAGAAGAAGATTTGGCATCAGAATTCCAGAATGAAGTGGGTATATGATGGGGATCGTAACACTAGATTTTTCCATACTTGTGCTTCAGTTAGAAGAAAGCTAAATGCTATGAATGCTTTAAAAGTTGAGGAAATATTATCCAAGACCCAACTGTTATCATGGCCACTGTTAGGGATCATTTTTTTAAAATATTTAATGTTCGATCTACCTTGGAAGTAGATGATATAAGGTTGATTTTTCCTAGAATTTCTTTGGAGCAAAACATTCTTTTAGAAAATGAATTTTCGAGGAAGAGGTTTGGGAGACATTAAAGTCGTGTGACAGTAACAAAGCTCTGGGGCCAGATGGATTAAATTTGGGGTTTTTCAAAAGGTTCTAGTTTTTCCTTAAGGAATACATTCATAAATTTTTCCATAACTTCTACTTGGGGAAAGATTGGGAATATGATATTAATCATACTTTCATTACCCTTATTCCTAAAGGCTCTAACATTGGTGGCTTAGATGATTATATACCAATAAGCTTAGTAGGAGGGGTTTACAAGATCTTATCTAAGTGTCTTTCTAGGAGGTTAAGAAGTTGCATAAGTGA